TGTGTGTGTGTGTGTGTGTGTGTGTGTGTGTGTGTGTGTGTGTGTGTGTGTGTGTGTGTGTGTGTGTGAAGAAACTGACAGATAATGAAACCATTAATTCTGCAGGGTGAGGACTGCCAGCTGGGTGCAGCTGCAGTGCTCTGGCTGGCATACAGAGGGTGAAAGCAAAAAAAAAAAAAAAAAAGAGAGAGAGAGATCAGCTACTATAAGGAAGCAGAAAGAGATGGAGAATGTGAGAATAAAATAATGACTAAACAAAAGCGGTGGGTTGGTGAGAAGGGGGATTGGTGAGGAGAATGGAAAATGTGTGAATGGATGAAGACTGGGTGTTTGATGAAGAAGACAAAGAATATGTGGGAGTTGAACGGAGTTCTCAGGATTTTAAAGCTGTAGCATTCCTTAAGGAAAGCGTATAACCCATTGTCTTTAATGCACAATCTCGTGACATATCAGCTACTACCACAACAAATGTTAGCACAGTATCTGTAAAATTCACTTTGATATGAACACTTGTGTGGCTGTGGTGTCCATCTTGTGTCCAAAGTTATTCCGTTGTAGATTAGATTGTCCAGTTTGTTAGTAGTTCATGAGATATTTTGCTAATGGACAGACAGAATTAATTAATGGCAAAGTTTTAAATATAGATCTCATGCAGTTAGCTCTCAGAGTACAAGGTATCAGTCTAAGCTACAAGTTTAAGCTCAATCATTTTTGTGTTTGCTGCTTGGATTGCGTTGTTGTGGCAATTATCTTGAATCAACTTGTTTTCAAAAGTTAACCCCTTTATTTTCTACACTTCTGTTTTTTTTTTCTGGTGTAAACCCTTTTGTGAGTTTAATAAACCTTTTTTTAACCTGCTTTTGTTCTTGATTATAACTACAGCATGTCTTCACTAGGGTTGGGCACAATCGTATTGTGTGTGATTAATCGTCAGAAAAACATTAATCGATTAATTTTTGGCACTTGACAATTAATACGATTAATGCCAACAGGTAGAGTAGAATCCACTCGCTGCTCCTCTCAGCTTCAAATATGATGAACATTAAAAAAAGTTCTGTAACTTATTTATCTATCAACACAATTTAAAATTTGGTGTATAGCCTGTAGTCTGTAATTTTGACACAATTTGGAACAGATTTTTATGAAGAGCAAATCTTTCCCACTAAATTGGTCATGTGACTAGGACATAAGGGTGTCCAGGGCCTCCAGGGGATTAATCGTCAAATTAATCTTTATCGGCTAAATACCACAATTAATCGTGATTTATTTTTTTGCTAATAATGCCCAACCCTAGTCTTCACACAATTATCTGATTTAATGTCATTAGTACCTTCATCAATACCCATATTGAAGTAAATATCAAAGATGCACACACAGTGTTGTATAAAATACCTCAAGGTGATACTTGAGCAAAAGTACAAGTATCTTATCATAAAAATACTTTGGTAAAAGTTAGTCTTCTTTAAAAATATTACTTGAGTAAAAGTCTTAAAGTATCTGATATTTTTTGTACTTAAGTATCCAAAGTTAAATTTTAACACAAAATCTACTTAAATATTCATAGTAAAAGTACTGAGAAAAAGTGAGCAGTTTAGGCTTTAGTTTAGACCAGTGGTTCCCAAACTGTTTATCTTCTGACTCACAAAATATTCATGGCAAAAACTTGTGACCCCAAATTTTACTGGTCTGAGTACATGAACTTTGTTAATAACTCTAAAAACAAAGGCTACACAAATATAAATACATATTGATTTATTTTTTGTTTTTGTAATAATTATAGGGAAAATATGTGGCACGGTGGCTCAGTTGGTAGAGCTGATGCCTCTCAGCAAGAAGGTCACCGGTTCAAATCCCGGTCCAGGGACCTTTCTGGGTAGAGTTTGCATGTTCTCTACGTGCATGCGTGGGTTCTCTCTCCGGCTTCCTCCCACAGACCAAAAACATGACTGTTAGGTTAATTGATAACTCTAAATTGTCCCTAGGTGTGAGTGAGGGAGTGAATGGTTGTTTGTCTCGTTTGTCTCTGTGTGTCCTTGTGATGGACTTACGACCTGTCCAGGGTGTACCCTGCCCCTCGCACTGTGACTGCTGGATATGCGCACCAGTGACCCACGCAACCCTGAAAAGGAAGAAGCATGGATAGATAGGGAAAAATATTACATCACCAATTATTTTATTACACTTTAAATTGATTTCTGAAGTGCAGTGGTTCCCAAGCTTTTCAGCTTTTGACCCACAACATAACAGTAGCAGAGACCTGTGCCCACAACTATTTTTGGATTATGAACATTTGTATCAGGTCATCTAAACATGGGCATAGTAACAATATTTATTATTCTAGATTTATACATTTTAGGCAACTAAGGCAAAAATGTAATTAATTTAGAAAATCTTTTCAGGACCCCACTTTGGGTCCCGACCCCAACTTTGGGAACCACTGTTCTACACTGCCTGACCAAAAAAAAAGGTGCCACCTGAAAAAAAAAAACACTAATATTTTGTTGGACCACCTTTAGCTTTGATTACAGCACATATTCACTGTGGCATTGTTTGGATAAACTTCCTAGAAACTGCAACAAACCCCAGATCATAGCACCGCCCCCACAGGCTGTACACCTGCCCTATGTGTGCCTCCTCCAAGACGATGGGTCCCCACTATCCTTCCAGTTTTTAATAATGCGTCGGACAGTTCTTAACCTAGTTTTAGTAGTTTCTGCAATCTCCTTAGA